TCACCCAAGCTGGAAGATCTGTAAAATCGAAGCTTGTGGAAAATAGTTGTGCCATTGAACTTTTTAATGTGGATTTTTTTTTCTGGAAGTTGGTCCTGCTTCATGGAGATGTGTTAAGTACCTATTTGCACTAAATTCTAAACAGCATTCTGCTTTTTTCTCTTTATGCATGTATTAGGGAACTCACAACTTTGGTGGCATCCGGGTGGGTAATGGACCCACTGAAGAAGATGCAGAGATCATTCAACATGACCAGCTCTCTACCCATTCTGAGGAAGGGGAGGAGGTGAGTGTCTGACACTTGCTCAGGACAGTAAAGTTGGCACTCTGGGGATGATTTACTAGCTTCCAAGCTCTTAAATTTCCATAGCAGTGCTGACAGCAGAACAGTAGAAATTCAAGGCCTATTCTAATAACAACCTTTTACACACTACTCTCTGGTCATCTTTGACTCTTATTTCTTGTTAAAAGAGCAGGAGTCTCATGATGGGCCAGCTCTGTATCCCCATAGGGCATCTGAAAATATGGACAGTTGCCACAGACTTGTTTTTCCCTTAGAAAAAGCAGGTGTGGGCAACCCCCTTCTTCCCCTTTGGTGTTATATAGTACTTGGATTTATATTAACTGGTTATATTTCTTGAGTCCTAAATCTCTCTTGTTTCAAATTCTTGTGGGCTGTTAACACATCTCAACTGCGCTGCCTTACCTGTTGCCCAAGAGGTGGACAAAAAGGGAAAGCTAGCTTGTTTATCTTGGACATCCTGATGCCTCCCTAGTAGCTGTGCATTACAATGCTTGTTAAGTGCTTCCACTTGAAGAATAAATCCCTAATTGTACTCTTGACTAATGATGTGACTGGTGGGACACTGCACTAAATGTAAACTTGTGTTTTCAAGCCTGCGGAGGATGAGGTGGTAAGATTACAGTCAGCTTTGCATTCATGTGTATCTGGAACATTTTTCATGGGTGGTAAATCATCTCCTGAGTTAATATAATTCTTTGTCATAGCATCTTGTTTTTTTAAAAGCCCTAGCCATTAATGCATCACAGACTGTTTCTAATACTTCATGCAGTATCTCCATTCAAAGAAACCCTGAATTTACTTCATCTGTCCAGCATACATTTGCTTTGTCTCTCAACTACAAATATTTCTCAGTTGACCTGCACAGCTGTGCATCAAAGATCAACTAGTGACTTCCTCTAAATCTGTATAATATTGAAGTGGTTGGAGAAGCAAGTTTCTCTGTCTGATACGTAGTTGTATCTGTTTGGTCAATGGGAATGTTTGGATTTTTTTGCAAACTGCTTATAGATTTTTTGTTTGTTTGTTTGGTTTTTTTTCTAGCTATCATCTAGCTTAATGTTACCGGCTACCATGAAATAAATTCAGCAAAATATTGAAACATCAAATTGGAGTTGCTGATAACCAGGGAATCAATATTTTGTTTTTTCTCTCTCAAGGAGGGTTTTTAGGAGAAGAATTGCTCATTCTTGAATACTAGTAGTTGGAAGAGTCAGAAATATAATATACTCTTTGGAGAGCAGACCATTTAAATCTAACCAGTCTCTGCACTCCTTGCTATCAAAAGACCCATATTCTTCATGTTCCTTCCTCCTTTTCCTACTCCTCGAGTTGGTACCCTTGGTCACTCTTTGGACAGGCTGGCTCTGATGGCAGGAGCAGGGGCAGGTGGCATCCTTGGAAGCAATAGTTAATGTCTACAAGCAGTTATGCCATTCTTGGGTCTTTGCTGTTAGTGTGCCTGTGCTTGTTGTGTCTTTTGTTCTTTGAATTGTGGGTGTGGATGCAAAAGGCCTTGGTACATATTTCTCCAAGAAGCTTAGCATGCACAAATTGCTAATGAAGGTTTTGCTTATTTCACCATTAACAAGAATTTTCTTCATCTGTGAGGTCAATTCATATGTATAAACAAATGACAATTCAAAATGGTAGGCTGTATGTAAATGGATGTAGGTCTGCCATCTCCAGTGAGCATTAACACCAATGAAGCTGTAGAATGAAATACTCCTCTGTCATTGCAATATCCATGCTACTCTTTGATTTGTGTTTGTCTTTAGACCCAAAACAAATGGGCACCAGTAATTAACGTTGATAAAAGGATAGAACTTAGTTTTGAGGGTGTAGAGTTGGGTATCTATTGGTCTAACAAACTAAAGTAAGTTGTTCAGCTCATTCAGAATGAGCTACAGAAAAATCTAAGTAAATAAGTGAATAATCTTATGCCCCACGCTAACACTTCCTTCAACACTGGACCTAATGGGCCCAACTTCTTTCCTTTTAATCTAGATTCATAATACCAGTAGGTAGGTGCATGAATTGCACTGTAGTTAGAGCAGTATCAGTCCTGTCCATCTGACTGACTTGATTAAGATTAATTGTCATTCTTTTGAGCTGAGTGAAATAAATGTGCGTATATAGGATGTCTCCAGTCATGTTATCTCTAGTTGACTTTTTATTAAGTTGCCTTCCTAGTGCGGTAGCATTCTCTGAAATGCTTCTAGTGTTGTGCGCAGGACCAGGTAGGCAGGCAGGACTCTGGAGTTTCAATGTGAGGCTAAGATAATGGTGTAGGGAGGAAGGGTTTAGGTTTTGCTGGCTCCTAATTAAATTGCCAATCGAGAATGATTGTTTGTTGGCGGGGTAGCAGGTACAGAGCACCGCCACGCACCACTCCGCACTGTCACCACCTCCCAGGAGCAGGGTGGTGGGGGGGAAGCTTGCCCCACCGTCCCCTCCACCAGCACCCTGCACTGCCACTGCTTCCATTGCTGCTGGTCTCAGCTGCCTGCTGTGCCGCCCCTCCCCTTCCCCACTCCTTGGAGGCAGTGGAGCGCTGCCATGATGGCAGGGGTGGAGCAGGGGAGTGAGGCCAGATGGCCTTGCCCCCCTAGGGGTTCCATCCCCTCTGTCCCATTCCCCCTTCCTGGTCACAGCAGCACTCCTCTGCCTCCAGGGAGCATGGCCTGGAGTTGGGGGAGTGGTGAGGCCAGCAGTGCTGGCCTCGCCCACTCACTCTCTCTTCCATCCCCACCATCATGGCAGCACTCTGCACCACCACCACCGTCTCCTGTCTGTAACACTCTTGGAACACTGATTGGTTGTTTCAGTAGCCAATCGGAGTGCTCCAATAGTGTTGCAGACAGATACAGACAGACTAAGCCTTTTATTATATTAGAATTAGGAGATCCTCTTGAAATAGGGAAAGCCTGTACAGAAGGGATGGTTTCTACCTGAAAAAAATGGTACCGTAACTACTGGCGTGTAACATTAATAAGGTGGTAGAGCGGCATTTAAACTAAAAATGCAGGGGAAAGCCACAGCTTGTGTTGCAAAATAGCACACAATTTGGATTGACTTGCCCTATAAGGGTGAAACTGGAAGAAAAAAAAAAAAGTGGGGGGCGGGAAGGATAAGAAACAGGATGAAGACTAGCATAAGCAAATGCCTTTAATGAGTAAAAGGTTACATGGGAGTAGCTAACCTGGCAAAAATAAAAAGTATACATGTTTTCATACTTGTGCTAGAAGCCAAAGATCAAAAGTGGGGGAACTTGAATGCTTAGCAGTAAATAATGACATTGACATAATAGGTATCTCTGAAACATGGCGGAATGAGGAAAATCGATGGAATGCTGTAATACCAGGATACAAGTTGTACAGGAACAGTAGAGTAGGTTATACTTGTGGGAGAATGGCATTCTACATCAAAGAATGCATCGAGTCAAATAGGGTAGATTTTTCAACTGATAAGAGAAGTACCATAGAATCTTTGTAGATAGAAATCCCAGGTTTCAAGGCGGGGGAGTATATTTAGGGATATACTATCCTCCAGCAGCTAGCTAGAAATGCCAAGGGACTTCAACTATCCACAAAGAGACTGGGTCAGTCTAACATCAGGCCCGGGTGCAGAGACCAAATTTCTTGACATTATAAAAGACTGCTTCCTGGAGCAGTTAGTCCTGGAACATACAAGGGTAAAGACCGTTCTTGACCTAGTCCTCAGCAGTGCACAGGATTTGGTGCAAAGGGTAAGTGTTACTGAGCCCCTCGGCATTAGTGACCTCAATGCAATTGGGTTTGACATCCATTTAGGAGGGGAAATGAGAAGAAAATCTGGAAACCGCTTAAGAACATTATATTGGAGGCACAAAGCAAATGCAAATGCATACCACAAATAAAAAAAATGGAAAGTGGATTAAAAGCAAGCAAGCATGGTTTAATGACAGTTGCAGAGGCAATAAGTAGAAAAAAATCTTCTTTCAAAAAGTGGAAGTTAAAACCTAGCGAAGAAAATAAAAAAGAGCATAAACACTGGCAAATTAGATGTAAAACTATAATAAGATTAAAATTTTATTGTTACCCTTTGTGTGTCTAGAAAGTTTTTCCTCAAATTCTAAGTATACCAGAAGCCAAAGAGTAGTCAGAAAGTCAGTTGGGCCTTTGAATGGTCAAGGTGTAAAAGGGGTGCTAAAGGATGATGGGACCATTGCTGAGAAACTAAATGCATTCTTTGCATCTGGCTCCACTATGGAAGATGTTGGGAGGATTTCCTCACCAGATCCACTCCTCTCTCTGGACAAGTTAGTGAAGCTGACCCAAAGTGAAGATTCAGTAGGTGAGGTCGTAGAGGAAATTGATGAACTAAATTATAGCAAATCACTAGGACCTGATGGCATTCACCCTAAGGTCCTGAAGGAGCTCAGATTAGGAATTGCTGAACTTGTACCTATAGTACGCAACCTCTCACTAAAAACAGCCTTGGTACCAGAGGACTGGAGTGTTGCCAGCATGACTCTCATATTTAAAAATAGGCTCTAGAGAGGATGTGGGGAACTACAGGCCAGTAAGCCTAACTTCTGTTCCTGGAAAACTGGTAGAAATTATTTAAAAAAATAAATAAATTCCAGCATGTGGATGGATGTGACTTGTTAACTCCTCCCCAACACATCTTTTTTAAAGGGAAATCAAGCCTCATCAGCCTATTAGAGTTCTTTGAGGAAGGGTGTCAATAAGCAGGTGGATTAGGGTGATCCAGTTGACATAGTATGTTTGAACATCAAAGATCATATTTGAACAAGGTCCCCCACCAGAGGCTCGTAACAGGGGTGTGCAAAATGGGCCTATTTGGATTTGGCCCGAATTGGGGACAGTGATACGATTCATTGATTTGGATCACTGTCCCCGATTCAATTCAGCCGAATCTCATCTGAAGATTCGATGCTGATTCGGAGAATCGGTGATTCAGCCATAGACACGGCTTTAAATGTTTTTTTTTCTACATACCTCAAGATACCAGGTGCAGCCCGTGATCGCTGTGATGCTGGGGCGGATGGAGGATCCCACAGGAGTGTGGGTGGGGCCCCCCCACATGCTTGGTGGCGAATCCGGAAGTGGACCAGAAGTACTTCTGGGTCCACTGGGGGGCCCCCCAGCATTCCCCCCAGATATAGGAGGCACCAGTCACCAAGCTGGGGAGGTGCAGAGGAAGGCTCCCTGTGCACTCCCCAGCAGACCTGGAAGTGGACCAGAAGTGCTTCTGGTCCACTTCCGGGTCTGCTGCCGAGCACGCTGAGGACCCTCCTGTGGGATGCTCCATCCACCCCACCATTGCAATGTTGGTGAGGTGCCTGCTACCTTGAGGTATGTAGAAAAAACATTTAAAGCTGTGTCCATGTCTGAATCGCTGAATCTCTCCGAATCGATTCAGAGGGTTCTGATTTGATTCAGAGATTAAAGGGTCTCCTGATTCAGTTTGGATTCAGAGATTTGGCCACCAAATGGAGCTGAATCTCCACTGAATTGAATCAGTGGCCGAAGCTTCGCACAGCTCTACCCCTTAAGTATGTTAGATAGTCATGGGATTACAGGGAACATCCACTTGTGGATTAGAAATTGTTTCCAAGATGGAAAGCAAAGAGTGAATATAAGCAATCAGTTTATGATGGGAAGAACTAAACAGCAGGATCTCCCAGAGATCTGTGTTGGGACCAGTGCTGTTTAACATATTCATAGATGAACTGGAAAAGGGGGCGAGTAACAAGGTGGCCAGGCCAGACTTGCAAATAACACAAAACAATTCAGAATGGTAAAGATCAAGGCAGACTGTGAGGAACTACAGAAGGATCTGGCATGATTGTTTGAATGGGCAACTAAATGGCAGATGAAAGTCAACGTAGGTAAGTGTGAAGTGATGCACTTGGGCAAAAATAACTCAAGCTATACATGCACTATGATGGGCTCTATATTAGTTGTTACCACACAAGAAAATAAATTGATCAGGGAGTCATTGTGGAAAGTTCACTAAAAAAACATTTAGCTCAGTGTTCAGCAGACATCAAAAAGGCAAACAATGTTAGGGATTATTAAGAATGGAATTGGGAACAAATGAGAAAGTATCATTATACTCATTTATAAATCGGTGGTGTGTCCATACCTTGAATACTGTGCCCTGTTCTGGTCCCCACACCTCAAAAAGGATATAGAAGAACTAGAGAAGGTCCGGAAAAGGGCAACAAGGATGGTTAGTGATATGGAGGGGGCTTTCATATAAGGAGAGACTAAAGAGGCTAGACCTATTCAGTTTAGAAATGAGATGCTTGAGGGGGGACATGACAAGAGCTTACAAAATACCAAATGGCAAAGAGAAAATAAATTGGAATTATTTACTGCCTCTCAATACAAGAGCTAGGGGTCACAAAATGAAATAAGTAGGTGGTTAGTTTAAAACTAACAATAAGAAATTCTTTTTCACACAGTGTGTAATTAAAGTGTGAAACTCATTGCCACCAGGTATTATGGAAGGTCATGGTTTAGCTGGGTTCAAAAGGGGATTGGACAAATTCTTGGAGGAAAAAGGGCATCAGTAGCTATTGAGTATGGGAGTTAGGCATACAGCCTCTGAAATCAGAGTTTCCTAGACCTTTAAATGTTGGAGGCTGCAAGTGACAGGAATGGGGCGGTGGGGGTTACCCTGATGATACCCAATTCACTCTCCCTTTCAGCATCTGATCTCTGTCACTGTGCGATACAGAATACTGGGCAAGATGGACCCATGGTCTGACACAGTAGATGGCAGTCCTTATGTTCTTATGCAGTCCCATACAAGAATAGGAAAGATGCATCAAGACTAGAAAAGCTGTGGAGCGGAAAGTAAACTTAAAGTTGTGTTTTCTGAACAACACCTTGGTGGGTAAAAGTCCTGCAGTGGCAGCGGCTTTACTGATGGTTTCTTTGTAAATGTCACTGAAGGTGGCTCTGCCTAGAGTTGTAACATTTGAGGCTGCTGCTTATAGCTGGTGAAATAACGGATGTAATGCAGGTATAGCTGATCACATCTGTATAGCACATGAATGCTTTTTTTTTTTAAAGAAACACGATGAAAAATAACCTGTAAATCTACAGGCACTGTGTTAAAGTTATTCTGTGAGTCCCTTTTTCTCAGACCATAAGGATGATCTCTCCAGTGGCTATTTACTGTTTCTGCCATACAGTGTACTTAATGGTTAAATATTTGTTCTGTTCTGTCTACTTTATACTGATTTCCTGCCTTCGGGGAGTGGATGCTGCTGACCAGGTTTCACAAAAGAAGCATAAACTGGAAAGACTATGATGAGAAGGAGCTGGTCTCTTGACAGCTAGTTTGACTTAGTTGTTTAAAATGTTTACTATTTTGGCTAAACAGAGGGGCAACAAGAATAAAAATAGCCTGCTGTGCCCTTTCAGAACATTAATATTGGTGTCTTTAAAATTCTGTATTCCCTTTAACTGTTCTAAGCAGTTTATGGAATGTGAACTAAATGCAAGACACAGTAACAAGCTCTTTCCCAAGTTTCAGGAAACTACTCTGCCCCCTCCTCCCCTTCCCCCCAACACACGCTTTTAAAAATAAAAACCTATATGTTAAAACTAATTAATTACAAGAAAAGGTATACAACGTGGGAACTCTGCAGGCAAAATAATGAGGCACAGATGGGATTTTCAGGATCAACTCCTGCATTATTTCTACTTTCCCAAAAAATAAACGTCTGTCTTGCAGAAAGCTTGTGTAGCAGAGGTAAATGTGCAGTATTGGAACCTTGTCTGCCAGTATTGCCTTTGACTTTTTTAAAATTAATTTCAGATTTTTCTCATTCCTGTGAAGAATATAGTACTTGTAGAAATAGATGCGAATGACTAGTGAGTTGAGATGGGAACCATTTCCTCACTAGACAGATTCCTGGCAAAATCCTAGATTGAATGGTAACTTTTTTTGTTTGCCATGTTAAATGTATACTTTTAATCACTGCAGTATTGAATAATTTTTCAAATTTGTATTGGTAAGATTTTGTAGCAGTTCGCTTCACTGCAGCTGTGAAAAGATTATTTGACAGATGAAATGGATGATCAGTATCCACAGCCAGAAGAAAGTATGAGAGCCTAAACTGCAAACATAGTGCCCTTTGTACTAAGACAGGATAGTAAGCTACTTCCCTTAACTGCCAATCATCGTTTATTATAGCAAGACTTGTAGCAGGTTTCATTTCTTCCTTGCTCTGTTCCTTCTACAGTTTGATTTTGGGGATACCGTAGTTCATCAGGCCATCCATACCATTGAGTTCTGCCTGGGGTGCATCTCCAACACAGCCTCCTACTTGCGCCTTTGGGCTCTGAGCTTGGCCCATGCACGTGAGTATCACTTCCAAAGCTGGAAGTTTTGACTAGTGTTAAGAGATCAACCTGGACAAAGGCAGTAGGGAGAAGGCCTGAGCCCATAGGGTATGTGCTTAAGAGGAACTGCCCATGTGTGTTGGAGGGGTGGAAATGATAGGGTGGTGTATTTATGTTGACTTGGCCTTTGGCAGATGTACAAGTAAAGGCATGATGGGATCTAATGTATGATCTCAACAATCATGTTTCCTGCCATACCACACATGCGCATTAGGAGGTGTAACTGTGGGATCAAGCATCAGATACCATCATGCCTTATTGCCAGTGCAGGTGGATCATGACCCTGGATTCCCTTTGCACCAGCAAGTAGCAAGCCCCCACAGCAGGGAGCCACATCATCTGATTCAGGCTCCCAGCCTTGCCCCCTCCCCTCCCCTCCCCTCCCCTTGGGCTGGGAGGCCCAGCCTGGCCACACATTCAATGATGCAATAGGAACCAACCACAAAGTTACTCTACATTTTTGTGTAATAACTTTGTGGCTTATTCCTTGTTTTATCATGCCATTAATTGCATTAACATGTGGCTGGGTAATAACTTAAGACATGATTACCTAATTAATCATGTCTTAAGTATAATGTGTGCCAGGGACCCCTGTGTAACGAGATTTTAGCGTTTGCCCACCTTGTGATCAAATAGCAGTGTTTTACTGTCAATGGATGTTAGGCTGTGCTGTGTAGCCCAAAAGAAAGGGCTCTGTCAGTGACTTGGCAAAATGGAGCAGACCACATCTGCTTTCACTACTTTAACTTGAGACTTGATCTTAGCATGCAATGCTTCATTTTGATCAGTGTAATATGTCATGTAACTCAAAGGAGCGAGCCACGTGCAGCTCATGAGCTACTCTTAGGCCAACCTGTGATAGTCTGTGTGTGTAGGCAGCGTTGCTTTTGTGTATTGTTGTGCTCCTCCTTCCCTCTCCTGACCAGAATTATTACAGAAATTAATGTGGCCCATGGTTTTTCCCTTTGTAAGTTTCCTGTTGGTCTCTGTACAATATGGCAATTATGTTCCAGCTTGAGGCAGCCACCCTGCAGCACAGGTGTCATGTGGTAAGAGGAGCCTGTGTGTGGCATGCTGCAGATTAGGGTTGAAGGGCAGGCAGCACAGTGGCAGATAGGGCATAAAGCAGAGCAGTAGATCAGGCAGGGAGCAGCAACTCGGATAAGGAAAAGGGATTGGAGTGGCATTTGGGGAGGGTACAGGGTTAATTTGTAGCACATCTGCTGAAGTTTACCCCCAGTGCTCTAACTTCATTCTTGAAATGTTAATGCCCTGTAGGAAGATACAGGTGTAGGATCTGTGCAAACAATATATTTGAAAGGGAGTTTCATAGCTTTAGAAGGTGTAGGTGGAATTTTTTTTTTGCTGAATAGAATGATGGGCTAGTGAGTGGGAGCACTGGCCTTGCAGCTGGTGCTAGGGTTTGGGGTTCAGGTTTTGAAATATGTTTGCCTGCCAGCACCATGTTTCTCAAGCAGCCCCAAATGGAACCATGCTGCTGGCTTTTGCTGGGCTACAAATGGTGGGAAAGCCACTCAACTCTGAATAAAGTAACTGTTCTCTTTCATTTAACCACTCTGAAATGAGCACTATTTTTTTCTGACTCCTATCTTCCACAGAACTTTCTGAAGTGCTCTGGACCATGGTGATCCATGTTGGCCTCAGTGTGAGGAGTCTAGCTGGCGGCTTTGGCTTGTTCTTCATATTTGCTGCTTTTGCAACCTTGACTGTTGCAATCCTTCTGATCATGGAGGGGCTATCGGCTTTCCTTCATGCTCTCCGTTTGCACTGGTAAGTTTACTAGAAATGTTAGATGTTTTAAAGCTGTTTAATAAGGAGGACAATTGCAGATTAATTTGCCAACCTTGTGGCTGCAGTTTTCTAGAAGGTGAGATTTAGATTTGTCTATACATAGTAAAATTTGGGCTTGGGTTATAAATCAAGACAATTGATAATGGAGTACTGAACCCAGTGATGGCCGAGTGCTGCTTAGACATCATGTGAATAACAGAACTGAGTGCATTTGCACTTCCTGAGAATGTTCTACAGCAGGCAGACTAGTGGCAGAAGGATTTTAAAAACTTAAAGCCAGGGACGTGATTTTTTTTTTGGATGGCAATCCCAGTAACATACAGGTCAGTCGCATCATACGTGCATTTAACTTGTGCGAATTCAACTATATGTGGGGTGGGAGGGGGGCGGGGCTTGAGCTTCCACGTGGCACTGCTGCTTACCTGGAGGCCCATTATGGCGGTGACGGCCAGTGCCTCCAAAACCTCCTGCTGTCGTCATGGAGCTGTGCCCGGAGCTGTGGCCGGCTGCCAGGAGGCAGCAGCAGTGTGGTGGTGGCCGGGCGGCACGCAGCCATCCCCACCCACCACCCCACGCTGTGCCGCTGCCACCGGCCACACAGCTCTAAGCACGGTGCTGCGTGCAAACTCAAGCCCCGCCCCCCCCTCCCACCTCATGTATAGTGACTGATTTTCGCCTTACGAAATTTTCACTTTACGCACTGACTTCAGCAACTAACCCCTGTGTAAGATGCGACTGACCTGTACTGCACTCCCACCCTCTACAGCAGAGGTAGGCAATTATTTTGGGCAGAGGGCTGCTTACTGAGTTTTGGCAAGCCATTGAGGGTCGCATGACAGGCAGCCCAGGGCAGATTAATATTAATTTTCTAAATTTTTTTTTTTTAGGGGCCCCATGGCTAGATGGAATGGCCTGGTGGGCCGCATCCGGCCCCTGGGCCACATTTTGCCCAGCCCTGCTCTACAGTTTGATCGTTTACTTAGAAGTCACTGGAGCTGAAAATCAGGGGTCTAGTTTATCCTGGGGCTGATTGTCCTGGATAGAGGCCTAGTACAGACATTCAGTTTCTCCTGGGAGAGTTGCTCTCCCAGGAGAAACCATGAATGTACAGATGTTCAAGCTTTTTCTTCCAGAGTAAAAATGGCCGTTCCAGGGGAAAAATAACCTGGGAACAATGAGGGTTAAATCACTCTTGGAAGAGCTTCTCCTGGGAGAGTGAATATCTATGCATGCTGTTGCTTCTCTCAGAAGAGAACATAGTCCTTCAGCATCCCCCCCATACCCTCTGGGGTGGGGGCAGTGTGTTGCTCTCTGGACTCTGCTGCTCCACCAGGGAACAGAATGCATCCCCTTCCCAGTCCACACGTTGTCCTGCAGGGAAACAGGCTGACCACGGGCAGTCTGGGTCAGCCAGTCAGGGCTGTCTTTTGCACGGCTATCATCTGTCACCAAGCAGACTAAGGGGTCTGTAGAGCATGCTGAGATGTGTGCACAAGGATTCTCCTGCCGCCCCCCCACCCCTCCTACTCAGATGCATAATGGCAGCACTGCAAGCTCTCCAGTCTTAAGGGCGTCAGCATTCGAATATCTGTATGCACGGCTCTAAGTTTCTCTACCAGGAGAAGAAACTTGGGAGAATTCATCCAGATTTATTTGAATGTCCATATGCCTCAATCAAAATAGGCTTGACACAGTTGTTTACAGGAACAGTTTGAATGGCGATTTTAACCTCTATTGTCCTGGTACAAAGTGTTAATTCAGATATTTAACAGGTGCTTAATGTGGGATAAAGGGCTTGTCCCTCTGTTGGATACCAGGAATAAAAGACTTTGTTTTGGGAGAAATTCATCCTCTGTTTTTAGCTTCTAGGGGTGCTTGTATATGTGATGGTCGTCATGATGGACACGTGACAGGAAATGTAATTTGTGTGGCTTAATGGCATTATGCATTACATATGTGCCAGTTTTGGCGATTTTAAACGACTTTGCATTGTTGCAAACTAAACTATGTCTGGATGTAGTTTAGTTTGGAAAGTTTTGTTCTGTGGTGGGGTGGTGCCGCTGCCACCAGAGAAAAGAACCAGGGGCCACCCTCTGCTGCTCAGCTTCCTGGCAGCTTGCCCCTGGCTGCGGGCAGGCTCCAGCTCCATGAAAAAGAAAAGGGATCAGGCCCCTTACCGTAATATGGTGGAAAGATTGTAACAGTGGTTTTCAGTTAAAAACCCACCATTTCAATTTAGGGGGCATAAAATAAAACCTCATCACATGAACAAGCGCCTTAGGTATAAACAAACAGGTAGCACTTCTCCAGAATCCTAGTATAAGTCCCTTGTCCCATTTTAAGTACCTGTAAAGTATGAGAGAGAATATGCAAATACTTTCCCTTCCTCCCCATGCCCAAGAAGCACAATGTTGTGTACCTCTGTTGTGTTCCTCCAAATTAATCATGGCTTACTCAAGTTAGTTGCCAGCCATTCCAGGGACAAGCCTGTCAGGCTGTGCGGTCTTTCTGGCCACTTTTTGGCAGAGTGTCTAAAGGGCTATGCTGCTCCTTCTTTTGTCCTGGGTTTTGACTTGCATCAGTCAGGACTCATGAGGCATTTGTTTACAGAGAGAGTAACTGTTCTAGGCTGGAAAAAATACCGTTTTACCAGCTAAACACTTCTAAGCAATCTGCATAGAGGGTTTTGGAGAGGGATTGTCTTCAACAGTTTTTCTGTTCTTTGCTTTGCATTTGTTTTTCAAGCTTTTACAGTGTAACATAGTGATTGACTGGAGTTCCATTTGCAGCCAGCAACCTATCAAGTCCACTTTTTCTCAGGAAAACTGGGTTTAGCAGAGCAATAGAAGTTAAACTTCAGGGCCTCGACTTGGGATAATCTGTTGCATCTCTGGGGATCTCAGTCTAGTTTTATTATTAGCAGCTCTCTCATTTGCGCCTTCCTTTTAGAAAAGAAGTTGAGCCTTTTTTCAGCAAGGACAGCTTGCTTTGTGATATCAAAGATGATGTCCACAGACTGTGCAGAGGTCACAGCTGAAAACATGGATGTTTTCAATAACTTTGTACTGGAAGGTACATAATGAAGACTAAGGAAAGCTCTGCTTGGAAGACATCCGGTGAAGGTGTTCTGAATTAAGAAGCTTGTCATTGATTCTCTTAATAGCGGTAAACAAACCTGAAGGGATTGTAGCAGGAAATTTTGCAGGGTTTTCCATTTAGGTCATCTGATCGTAGATGCACAAGATTATGCTTCTACTTGGCAACTATGTTAACAAGTTACAAAACGCCAAGCTCTTTTCAGAAGAGGGTTGTTTAGTCATAGATTTGATTTTTGGCCCATCAATGGGAAGCAAAATAGATTTGTCTGCCAGGTTGGATGTCTTAAATTTAATTTTTGTAGTCTTCTGCCTTATAGCTACAAGGCAACATTTGGGAACAAAGGGAGTTTTGTAATTGCAAAACTAAAACTGGATTGATTTTAAATCTAATTTAACCCCCCCCCCCGGCTGAGCTGTAGGTCATTACTGCAATATGATAACTGGATTTCCAGAGCCACTGTAAGCAGTTTATCTTCGATGCCCCCTATTTAGATGGGGGATGATGGGTCTTTTCTTTTTGTTTATTTGTTTCTCTTGTTTTTTGGCAACATATTCTCCCTTGCATCTAACTTGCTGAGACCATGATTAATCTTATCCTTGTGCGCTCTGGCAGAACCTGTTAACCATCTGCCTGAGCTCTCTTACCAGCTGTGCTTTGTTAATGCATCCTCTCTAATTCTGTGTATGAAGGGAGCCTGCAAGTGGGAAGAGATTACCCAAGAAGAGCATGAGTCACTTTTTCTGCACCCAAGGAGAAAGGGAGTTCAAGAGTAGTTTTACTTCCATATGTTTAAAGAGCACTTACTTTTCAGCTTTAAATTCCACCTAAAGTGTGGCTGGGTATCACTTTGGTCCGATCAAAGAAACGGAAAATAATGAATTTGGTTAGTTTCTTGGCTCTCTGACACTACACCCATGACAAGAGAGGAAGAGTTTAAGTACTTATCCTCCAGATCAGTCTTGTTCAGGAATAACTCAATGTCAATTCAAACTTTTTTTTCCTCCTGGCCAGCCAGGATAATAAAGCTACAAGTGTAGTTCATGAAGAGCACTTCTACTCCAGGCTCTATGGTTTGATTGATTTGATTTATGCTTCCCTTCCCAGCAAAAGCTCCTGGCAGTTGATGATAAAGGAAACAAATGAGCTAAAAGGGCAGCAAGAATAAATGTAACAAAGTAAAAATGAAATGAAGTAGAGAGTCGCTGAACAAGATCTCTGCCTAAGTTTTGGTTCCTAAATGCCTACATTTCAAATAGAACGGTCTTCTGGTGCTTCCTCAAGATGTTCAGGCTTGGGATCAGACTCTGGCAGGCTTCAAAGGAGGGAGTTCAAGGTCATAGTGGTGGCTCCCCCCGCCCCTCATAAAAACATGCTTTTTGCATTCCAAAAATGGGAGGGAAGGGTTATTTTTAAACATTGGCTTGAAAATAAACAAATACAGCAATACTGTTCCTCTCCAGAGGCCCTTGGGAGTTCTGAAAAGGGAGAGGCAAAAGGGATAGCTGTATTGAAATTAGAAGAGAAATAAAGCTGTAGGCGTTTCCCATTTGGAAAGAAGCAAACTGTGCTGGTAATAACAAGTGCTGTTTTTCCAGATTTCCCCCCGAGGCTTGGGGGAGGAAAACTTAATCATTTTGTACCTTTGTTGGCACAGCTTCTAAGTACCATGCACTCAGGCTTTCAGTGTTTGGGGATCTTCAGACTTTTAAACCACATTCCTGATTCAAAAAGGAATTATAAAATGTAGCCATCTTGTGTAGGGAGGGAATCCCATGTTGCAGAGTTGTCTTACTACATGGCTGCTGGATGGTGTTCCTGATTTCTTCCCCCTGCACCCCCCTGGCATCCAGCCTTGAAATCCTCACACTTGGATCCATCTG